ACTTTGTTGGCCATGTATAGGGATGGCAATGGGGCGTGGTATAAGGCTGTATTCTTGGCCGGGTCCGGGCCTAACGGTCCCGGACTTTGGCGGGCTGGTCTTTGGCGGTCCCGGCCAAACGGTCCCAGTCCAAACAGTCCTGATGGGTGGAACCGGCCCACTGTGGGCCTAAGCCCACATGGTCCCGGGCTAAATGGGTCGGGCCCACGGGCCTAAGTGTTCCGGGCTATTTTTTTTTGATTTTTTTTATCTAAGGCAATATATATATTATAACATCATATTATAATTATATATACATTATATCACGGTTAGATCTATATCAGTTCTTTTTAATAGCTTTTTTTTTATAGTGGTATTTTTTTTTTATCTTATGTGTTTGTTTTTTTAATTTTTTTTTTTATTTATTTTTCTTATCTTAATATCAAATTTAAACACAAAATAAATTGCAAAGAAATATTCAAGGGAATGTCTTATAATTTTTATTATTCCTACATTAACAAAAAATGACAATATCTTTCTTAGTCTTCCTCCCTCCAATGGAATGAGCACAACAAGGTACTAATACCACCATTAAAGGAAAAAATAAACTAAGGAAGATGTGCCAAAGTACAAGTTACATATTAGTCTATGTATTATCTCTAACAAATTTCATAAATCCTTCAAGGTCCGGAGGGAATTTTCGTTGGTGGTGGCGGAAAAAAAGCTTGTTCATCACCGCTTCCGGGCGAAGCAGTATCCTGCACAAGTTCCGCTAGCATTTCTTCATAAGCTTCGTCTATCTCCGGTTATGATTCAGCAAGTCCAAAATTTCTTCTTTCCTAACGGATCCAATCTCTGAAGAGTACTGATTTTTCCAAGCTCTCCCTCATAGACGCTCTATGATCACCGATTTGAAGTCTCGCTTGACTGAAAGCACTCTCCGATGCCACTGTTGAAGCTTGATCACTTAAAATATCTCAAGCCATCCTTGAAAGAACCGGATAGTGTTTTTGTTTGTCCTTCCACCATTCCAAAACATCAAAGGAGCCGTCGGGATTCTCTAATTCAAGTCCCTGCAATAAATAAACTTGAAGCTCATTTACTTGTGAACTATCACCAATATTATCACCTTGAGAACCCCTGAACTCCGTCCAAGCACTAAGGGGTTTTAGGCCCGCAGTTCTTTTAGATGATTGCGAACTAGACGAAGTAGGAGTTGGAACATTTGGTCTAGCATGATCTAAGGCAAGTTGACAGGCATTATAAATTGTTTGAGCATTTATTTTAATTGAGGCTTTTGCATCTCCAAGTTTAGCAAATTCCTCATCTGAAAGTGATAAAGCGTTATAAATTTTTGTGTACCAAAAGTGAGGACTTCCTAATTTTATTGTAGGATTTAACATGGCAGCAACACCAAAAATAGGGGGGATAAGAAAAAAAATATTTTTTAAACTTATCTTTCATAGAATTAATAGCAAGTTGATAAATTACCCCACCCTCTGAAAATTGAGTAAACAAATCTGCAAGTGCTGCAATATAAACTAAACAGTTAGAAGTAGTAGGATAATATTGCCCAGATAATTCATTTGTAGCAACATGAAATTGTTCTAAAAAGTCTACAAGCATTTTAATATTAGTCCAATCCTGATTTGTAAGGTGCTCATCATCATCATCATCATCATCATCACCACCAACACGAGCATTATACGTTGCGTTTATTGGGTTTCTATATTCATATGCAACAACTAAATTTTCATACATGTAATTCCATTTAGTCGGACAAGGTTTAGGAACCTTTCTTTCTCTAAGGCCAAATTCATCACATTTTTTAAAATATTCTCTAAGTCTATTTCTACGGTTTGAATAAAAAAAGTCAATTAAGAGCCATTTTAACCTTTTTAATTTCCATATTTAACATTTTCATACCATCACCGAAGATTAAATGGTAAATATGACAAATACATCTAACTAGAAAAATATTACTAAATGCAGGATTTAGTGTAGTTGTAAGCAAGCCTATATCATTAGTGTTACTAGAAGCATTATCCATTGAAACCGACATTATTTTATCTCTAATACAAAAATATCTACAAATATCTGCAACTGTGTTAGCAATAAACTTACCTGTGTGGCGTGAATTAATTATTCTATAAGTAATAATGCGCTTTTGCATTATCCAGTCCTCATCAATCCGATGACTTGTAACAGTTAGATAATCACAGTCATTACCACTTCTACCAATATCAGTAGTAATAGCAGTGCGGCAATCTATATGAGTAAATAAATAGCGGAAATATTGTTCATATTCATGTTTATATTTATAAATATCGCTCTTTACGGTTGCGCGAGGCCATCCTTTATAAGTAAGATTAAAAACTCTTCTAATATAATGCACAAAGTGAGGGTTAGAAGGAAAACTATAGGGTAAGCACATAACAGTAACCATTATTGCCAATTCTTCACGATCTATATTTGGATCATAATATAAAATGCCACCGGTAACAGTGTTAATTCCCGATTGAACTAGATTTGACCCTGTACTAGGGTTAACCTCAGTATCTAAACTTCTACCCTCTTGCGCAGCTTTCATTTGTAAATATCTAGCTTTATCTCTAGGGTGTTTCTTTATGTGTCTAGTCAAAGTACCCGTACCGCTACGGTCTCTAGTATATTTGCCATCAAAGACCCACAAATTTTACACTTAGACTTATTTTGTTCTCTTAGTTGAGTAAAAAAGTGCCAAACAAGAGACGTTTCGGTCCGTTTAGAAGGTTGTCCATTAAAAGTAGGGGTTACTACAGGAGGGTTAGGCAGGGCATCATTTGGATTATTATCAGTTGGGTTATTAACAGGACTAGTAGGTGTATCATCTAAATCCGGTTGCGTTTCATCTAAATCATCATTTTCCTCATCATTTTCAAAGATAGTTTGATTAGGATAAAGAGCATTCATAACTTCATCATTTAATTGTTGACCTGGTGCAACATTATGGCAAAATTGACTATCGGAAAATTGAAAACAAGGGTTATCACTATCAAGAATAACAGGTGGAGGAGGACGGGTAACAAGTCTGGGTCGGGGAGCCGGGGGAAGAGTAGTAGCTTGGCGACTATATTCACCAATTTTAGATTTTCCCTTACCCTTACCACCAAATATTTTTCAAAGAAAAGTCCATATTAATTATAATTACACTAACTAAAATAAACAAAACTATAATATTAAAGCTTAAGAGTTGGAACAAGTTTACCAAATTGACGAACAACTTCTTGAAAATTGAATATCGTTGAAGACTTGAAGACTTGAATACTTCAATTCACCAACTAAATAATTTTTTCACAAAATTGCAGTAATAAAGTAAGCAATTATAGAAGAAAATTAGAGAGAGATTGATGAATTTGTGAGTAAAAATAAAAGAATGGAGGGTATTTATAGTTGAGAATAGGAAAAAAGTGTAATTATAAAAAGTTTGGGGGCCAAATGGCTATTTTTTAAAAAGCCAAACGGCTAAAATTGCAGGCCAACGACTAGTTTTTAAATTTCAGACCATTGGCCTTTTTTTTAATTTTTTTTTGAAAAATAGCCGTTGGGCTCGGTTGAACCGGCCTAGGCCCGCCTGCCGGTCCCGGGCTAAACGGTCCCGGGCTCGCGGTCTATTTAGCGAGGACCGGTCTACAGCGTGGGCTTTTAAGACCGTTAGGGACCAGCCCGTTTGCTAGCGGTCCCGGGCTGGGCCCGGCCCACAATATACCCTTAGCGTGGTAGGGCTGGACAAGTCTTGACCTGGTAACATTTTGACCCGTTATATCTTGCCCCATTTAATATTTTTTTAGATTTTTGCCCTGCCCTTTAAGTCATGTACAAGTGAGTTTGCTTTAATTATCTATGTTCGATTTTATTTTATGATAATATACAAAACTATGCTAATTCATCATTTATCGAAATTAGTTACATTTAATTTTATGCTCACAATAAAAGATATTTTTTTTAATTGCTTTCCAAATATGGGATGTGTCCAATTCTGTTTCTAATCCAATTTCAGAGCTTGCTATAACATTCATCCATATCAAATTATCAATATTGCATATAATTTTCTTTAAATTTCTTTTCCTAAAAGTACCAACCGGAGGTTCAATATCCAATTAGTGGCTGCAACATCACTTTAGACAAAATAGTGTAGTGTTCAAATCTCAGGAGAAGTGCCGATTTTATCAAGGAAAGAAAAGGGAACTAGAAAAAACTGTATTAGAACTAAAGGTATATTAAGGAAAGGGGACTCCACGTGCTCCAGATCGAACAAATACGGCAGCTCACCACGAAATCTCCAATGAAAGCTCCTGAGTAGCTGGATGGGTATTGTTGCGCCTCGTTTTCTTGCAAAAGCGGGTTCGACATGTGACAAATCTTCTAAATAGGTATTAAAAGAGAAAAGTCATCACCTAACGATTTTAAGATGTGTTAGGGCACCTACTTGCAAATACACCGATTTGACTAGTCAATGTCACCAAAGATTGGGTAAGAGTTCAAGTTACCTCAAAGAGAAGGTGTTAGGTGTAGACATGTGATTTTTGACCATCCCCAAGAATTTTTATATTTTAGCATGTAAATATTTAGTTTAGACCTAATATAGCTATTTCAACTATTTTTGACTCTTTTACTTTATTTCATCACAAAAATGAAAATTACAAAATGGCTCATTTTTACATTCTTAGCTTTTAATTTTGGATTATTAAGTTTTCTCTTTTAATTTAGGATCAACTAATTTTTATAAATATTATAGTTAGATAATTAGTTTAATTTTACAATTTGAATTAATTTAGGAATTTAATTTAGGTTTTTAATTAATTAAAGAAGAAAAGAGAACAAAAAGAAAAGGAAATTGAAAAAGGCTAGTTTTTAAATTCAATTGGGCCAAACATTTTAGAAGCCCAAAATTCCCCCCCCCCCCACAAACCCAGCCCAGACCGAGTCGGCCCGACCCAACTTCTTCTTAAATTAACCTAAAACCTAATAGACCTAGACACTCTAATAAACGATCAGCGGTTTTCCATCGAGCATGGACAACCAAAAAACCTAGAGCACCTTCTCCTTCATCTTCCATATACCAAGAGAAAAACCTGTCGTTTTAACAAAGGAAACCCCCCCAGCGTGGCTTCTTCTTCAGAGGTAATACACACACAGATACAATGAGGGATCCGTTCTGCTTCTTCTTCAACAAAACCAAGGACCCCTGCCCTTCATCTTGAACCTAGAGACATAGCATCCATGTTTATATAATTAGACTCTAAAATTTTTCAGCCGAAAAACTCAAAAAAGGAGCCGAAAAGATCATCTTTTTCACTAGACCTTTCAGCCGTTTTCCATGAGCACACCCTAGGCTAAGCTTCCTTCTTCTTGGACAAGAAACGAAAAAACCTAACGCCTAAAAAGATCCAGCCATTTCTGATCAAAACCTTCAGCAATCTAGACCCGAGCTTCAGCGACAGAGCACACACACACAACTTAACGCCTCATTTACTGTCCATTGAACTCGCCGGAAAACGAGCAAATCTGCCGCTCCTTCACCACCAACAGGCGTCTTTCAAAACCAAATCAGTACAACCCCAAATCAGTCCCAAAGAAACTCAAAAACCAGCCGGAGTTTAGTTTCTGTCATTCTGGTTTAGTTCGATAACTCCGGCGAGCTTCCAGGTTGTCCGTGGTCGTTGTTCATGGGTTCCGTTTCAGTTTCGTCCATGGTTTGTCGTGTCTGAGTTTAACGTTGCCTCATAATTAATGTGCTGATCCATTTTTGAGCTCCGAGAACGAGCTAACAACAGCTCCAAAGTGATGTAAAAACCAGCGCCGAACCACCCCAAAACAGTAGCTTTGTCATGCCAAAATTCGAGTTTTTCGGCGAGTCTCAAGTTTTTCTGTTTGAATTTCGATGACTGAGTTTCGATGATTGTTTCGGTGGGTTCCTTGTCGAGATCTGTTCGTTGGTTCCGTTGTCAGTTCAAAGGTCCGATAGCTTTCTTTGCTCCTGTTCTAGTTTTGGACGTCGTCTTCTTCATTATAATTCCGGTTGACGCATTACCCTACTGCAGGTACTGTTCTTGCTCACGAGAATAATGATAATAATAATAATAACTCTATTTTGATGATTCCTGTTGTGTTTGTCGCTGATCTGGCGCATGTTGTTGCTTTGTCATGTAAATGTTTATGTATCTGAGAAGTTCTCTATGGATCCATTGCCTTGTGAAATTATGGATAAATATAAGTTCTCTTTTCATATTGTTGCTGAAAATGTTAACTTTGTTCAACGTCTGAAACAAATAGTTGATCGAAAGGGGATATGACACTTTGTTTATGTGAAAAGTAGTGCTAATGCAGTAGCATCTTGAATGTGAGAAAGATATTTGTTTGTCTACTTTGGAAAATGTTGGTTCTGTCGCGGGTGTGCATTTCATGTGACTCGACCCTAATTTTGAATAATAATAATAAAAATAAGCATGTTATAAATTCGGGTATGCATTTCATGTGACCCGACTTTAATTTCCAATAATGTTAAATAAGATAAACATGTCGAGAACCGCGGGTGCATTTCATGTAGCATGGTTTACGATGTGTTCTTCAAAACAAATCATGAATTTTCCTTAAAATATTAAAAGCGGTTAGAAAGTTAAAAAATGCACATAGGTTTAACATGTGTCATTAATCAAATAATTAGGCCAACCATTAATAGTTAAGCGACCGTACTAAAACCACGGAACCCTGGAATGCCTAACACCTTCTCCCGGGTTAACAGAATTCCTTACCCGGATTTCTGTGTTCGCAGACCATAAATAAGAGTCAACTTCCTCGATTCGGGATTTAACCGGTTACTTGAGACACCATAAATTATCCCAAGTGGCGACTCTGAATGTAATATAAATAATCCTGTTTCGATTGTCACTTAAAGTAGAAAAAACTCCCCTTATACCCCTTCCGGGGTAGAAAAAGGAGGTGTGACATTAGGCACTCTTCGAGGTCCACAAATGTGGTTCCCGGTCGAATTTTAAACTCTATGGGAATATTGGGTTACTACTCGAAATTAAACTAGTTTGTTTACTAGGCGGTTAAATATGCAAACAATTAGAGATGAACAAATAATTACTTAAAAGTTAAATGCATAAAGAACGAACTAATAGCCTAAAGGAACTAATTATTTTTAAGTCTAATGGATCAACTCCCGTGCAAAGTCTGCTAAGACTTTTATAGCCAAAGTGCAATGGCTATTCGGCAATTTGTGTATCATCTCCGCTACACTCATTATTATCTTTAAGTTGTTACCTAAAGCGCACTAATTGATCCTAATACATGCCTTAAGACTGCTACCCGTTCCTTCCTATAGTCCAGGAGGCATTGGACACTATCTAATAGGTGGTGCTAGACTTAAAGAAAAGCTCAAGTTTCTAGTCTAATTACTTATTAGTATCACATAAAGGGGAGCACATTGGACTTAAACAAGTTGCACACAGGACGAGCAAGGTCTCACATTGGCCTCCGAATATATTAAGTAATTAATAATTACTGGAATAGTAATCTAGGGTCTTAAAAATGAACTAAGTTATTTGATATAATACTGAAGACCTGGAAAAAAATGAAGCAAATATAATTGAAAACAAGTATGATAAAAGGGCGTGTTTATTGCTCGGAATCTTTAGAGGTTCTTGCATCTCGGAGCGTGAAGATTCGAGTATTGGTTTATTGTTCTTGCCGTTCAAAAATTTTATCACTGAGTATTCTGAAGTTTGTTTGTCTTATTTACTGCTGCCCAAGCTCTGTTCGTTTATCGGTATTTGGATTTATGATTTTCTTATTAATTCGAAGCTTTGCAAATTGGTTAGCTTCTTGTCGATGCTGTTTTTAGCTTCCTATGCGTTAGTTATGTGTAAAGTAGTAGTGTTCGATGCCATTTCTTAGTTTCTTGCGTGGTAGTCGTATGTAGAGTAGTTGATTTAAATATTTGTGATGCTGGAATGCTATATTAATCTTGAAAGCTCCCAGGTCAGTTCCCTCATTCTTTATGAACATTGTTAACTTACTTGCGTGAAACTTCTCTGTCTGTATCATGCCTTTACTGCTTTCTGTGGATTGGTCATCCTGCTAAAACTTGCTTGAATACATAGGAAACATGTATTTGATGCATGTAAATCGGGTTGCCTGCACTCCATGTATGGAACATATTCTTTTCAATATTTGATATGTCTTGGACCATGCCTAACTCCATTTCAGAATTGTTGAAGTGCTGGACCAGGGACGGTCTATGCAAGAAAGCTCAAAAGACCTGGAACACTGTTTCTCAAGTTATATGGTGGTCTGTCTGGCTTGAAAGAAACAGTAGAATTTTTAAAGGCAAAAGAAGAAATTTACAGTGCCTTAAACTTAATTACATTTTGTTGATCGCTTTTTGGTGCAAACTAGTTCTTGTACCAGATGTAGAAGATATTTTAAACGCAATTGCTGATTCGCACAACCTGTAATTACGCCTGTTGCACTAGCTTAGTGCAAATATTTATATAATATAATATTTACCCATAACAAAAAAAAAGATATAAATTTATACTAGGTTTATTCCTCATGTGTTAAGCATCCCAATGTCCTAAGAGTCTCATGATTAAAGTGTCGAGGACCATGCTTTAATTTCCAAATAGTGCGGTGCTAGAAGCAACATATTTGGTTTAATAATAAAATTTGCCTAACCCTTTAATCTACATCTGGATAAGTAATTTCTTAAGAATGTAAAAGGATTGCATTTGATTGATACGTGACTTGGGTATTTAATAACATAAGCCTGAATTTGAGCATCATAGAAATAGCGTGCTTCGGGAATAATAAGTCTGATTAACCAATTGAAGCATTGTAATGTAGCAAAATCAATTCAGATGCATGTTTGTATGTACTCTGTGTTCTGGAATAGCAGGGTCACGATCTGAAATATTTAGACCAAAACTGAAAATTTGAAGAGTGGAAAAATACCAGAGAAAGAATCTTGTCGAGTCTGTCAAAGTCTAAGGACCTATTAGTTTTATTTTTGGACTCTGTCGTAGTATTAGCATGCAATAGCTTTGTCATAATGGAAAATGTGATATTATGTGCTAAGTATTTATTTGCGAGTTTCACTTATCTGATTAGTTGTCAATTCTACGTATATCTAAGTATATTTTCTTGCTAATCCTAGTTACTTATGAGTAGTGATATGCGTTTTTTTAAAGTAGGCTAGTCTTCTATAATTTACTGCTCAAGCTTACAAATTTTTTGACATGTTGGTAAACTAATAAAAAGCTAGAGTACTCTAGACTTGCTGAAAGTTAGTACCTAATTGTTGTAGTCCATTTGAGTGTATTATAGTATTAAATTGTTTTGTAAGCACTTGATCAACAACAACAAACCCAGTTTGATCCCTGAGGTCTAGGGAGGATAGTCTGTTCGCAGACCTTACCCCTATCTAATGCAGGTAGAGAGGTTGTTTCCAATAGACCCTCGGCTCAGGAAGGGCAAGAAGAAGGAGAGGAAAGCAAGGAAGGAAGAAGGATGGAAGAGAAAAGAAAAGGGAGAGATAAAGGATAAGTAGTACCAAATAATAGCAACAGGGAATACAATACCCGAGGCAAACAAAACCACATAACGTAATAAAAATCTAAGAATATGAAGGGACATGCATGCTACTAAGACTATCGGTGAACAATTATAAATTATCTACTAACCTTCTACCTTAATCCTCGACCTCCACACCCTCCTATCCAGGGTCATGTCCTTAGTGAGCTTAAGCAGTGCCATGTCCTGCCTAATCACCTCTCCCTAGTTATCAACACCTCTTTGTATCTCATTTTAGCACTATAACTTTTTCCTTTTTTTCTAAGCATATAAGTTCACTTGGCTTTATCTAAAATATGAAATTTTCTTTCATTGTGGTTCAAAAAAGGATAATCTTGGGTTAGTTTCGCTAGTATTTTGGATATTTGGCCTTATCAGTGAGTTAAGATTTTCTTTACCAATACACCTGCCAATTTGGCTTTATAAAAATTTGATGAATAATATTTTATTTTTTGATACATTGGTTAGTAAAAAATCAAAATTGCCTTATAAATATTATGCTATACATTTTTTAAACACGCCCTTTTATCATACTTGTTTTCAATTATATTTGCTTCATTTTTTTTCTGATCTTGAGTATCATATCATATAACTTAGTTCATTTTAAGACCCTAGATTACTATTCCAGTAATTATTAATTACTTAATATATCCGGAGGCCAATGTGAGACCTTGCTCGTCCTGTGTGCAACTTGTTTAAGTGCAATGTGCTCCCTTTTATGTGATGCTAATAAGTAATTAGACTAGAAACTTGAGCTTTTCTTTAAGTCTAGCACCACCTATTAGATGGTGTCCAATGCCTCCTGGACTATAGGGAGGAACGGGTAGCAGTCTTAAGGCATGTGTTAGGATCAATTAGTGCGCTTTAGGTAACAACTTAACGACAATAATGAGTGTAGCGGAGATAATACACAAATTGCCCGAATAGCCGTTGCACTTTGGCTATAAAAGCCTTAGCGGACTTTGCACGGGAGTTGATCCATTAGGCTTAAAAATTTAGGCCCCCTTTATATTAATTAGTTCCTTTAGTCTATTAGGTTTTTCTTTATGCATTTAACTTTTAAGTAATTATTTGTTCATCTCTAATTGTTTGCATATTTAACCGCCTAGTAAACAAACTAGTTTAATTTCGAGTAATAACCCAATATTCCACAAAGTTTAAAATTCGGCCGGGAACCATATTTGTGGACCTCGAAGAGTGCCTAACACCTTCTCTTTGAGGTAACTTGAACTCTTACCCGATCTTTGGTGACGTTGACTAGTCAAATCGAAGTTATTTGTAAGTAGGTGCCCTAATGCACCTTAAAATCGTTAGGTGATGGCTTTTCTCTTTTAATACCTATTTAGAAGATTTGTCACATGTCGAAACCCGCTTTCACGAGAAAATGGGGCACAACAATACCCATCCAACTACTCAGTAGCTTGCATTGGAGACTTTGTGGTGAGCTGCCCTATTTATTCGATCTGCAGCACGTGGAGTCCCTTTTCCTTATTATTCCTTTAGTTGCTAATACAGTTTTTTCTAGTTCCCTTTTCTTTCCTTGTTGATAAAATAGGCACTTCTCGTGAGATTTGAACACTACACCATTTTGTCTAAAGTGATGTTGCAGCCACTAATTGGATATTGAACCTCCGGTTGGTGCTTTTAGGAAAAGAAATTTAAAGAAAATTATGTGTAATATTGATAATTTGATATAGATGTATGTTATATCAAGCTTTAAAATTGTATTAGAAACAGAATTGGACACTTTTAGTCCAAATATATGTCCATAAAAATCAAATCCAACTTAATACATCCCATATTTGGAAAGCAATTAAAAAAAAATCTTTTATCGTGACCATGAAAATTAAGTGTAACTAATTTCGATAAATGATGAATTAATATAGTTTTGTATATGATCGTAAAATAAAATCGAACATAGATAATTAAAGCAAACTCACTTGTGCATGACTTAAAGTGGCAGGGCAAGGTAGGGCAAAAATCTGAAAAAATATGACGGGTCAAAATGTTAGCAGGTTAAGACTTGTCCAGCCCTACCACGCCCCATTGCCATCCCTATAAATGGCCAACAAAGTTAAGGAAATTGGAGAAGAAAAACTTGACCATCTAAGGCCAAACATACATGCACACACTTTCATTTGCCCTCGTAGCCATAAAAAAAAACAGTAAAGGCAAAGAGAGATTATAGGACGTTAGTGTTGCCACCAAAGGCTCTTCATTCTTCAATTTGCACCAAAATGATATGGTGTTAAAATCTTATTAACAATTTTGCTTTCTTATTTTAGTTTTCCTATTACAAACACCGTTTTCTAGAATAAAATAAAAACAAAAACTTTAGTTCTATTTCAATACTGGTTAATATCAAAAAAAACCTTGGTGATCGAAATCAATGTGACTGATGAATGAAGTTGGTAGTGCATTTGTCACATTTTCAGAAAAACCAAAGTTAAGTGGCGAACGTTGTAGCAAAAATGGGGTTATTTTAATCCACCTAATGTTGTTGAAAATATTTATATTTTGGATTTTCTCAGTTCACTTATAAAAGTAAAATCTCTACTTGTAATGAACATGATGTTATTTCAATTAACATGTACATAGAGGGTGTTTAGCATCCCTTTGTCTTTGAATTACCCAGTTTTCCCTGTTATTTTTATAAGTTCCTTGGATATGTTAATTTTGTAATTTAAGTCAGGAAAATTAAAAAATGGGGAGGATAAATCTGATATTTATTCTCTAATAGTAGACACGTCACAAAAAGGATGACTGCGAATCATCACGTGCAAATCACGTATTTTTTCTTGAGCTCCTTTTAGCTTCCTAGCCCATCCATCCAAATTGAACTTGCCCTCCCTCACTTGCCGCGCATTAAGTAAATCTCAAAATCTTAAACCACCGCAGCAATTTCATCTGTGGTTAGGGGCTTGCTTCCTTTTTCGAATTCTTTCGCTGGGTCTAATTGGTATCTTCTCCTTTTAGAATCCTGTAGCTTTGTGTTTTCTTAAAAAATTCTTTCAGAACTTTTAGATATTGCCTACTGCCAGTCTTTTTCCCCTTTAATATGAATTCTTTCCTCTTTGTTTCAGCTTGACACTTCACTGTGAAAATGCCCATCTTATATTTGATATTTCTAGCCAATTTTTTTGTCAATTCCTGGTGTAATATAGTGAAAAAGCACTGGTTGCGCAATTATTCTTTCTATTTATTTTATGTTGTTTTAGGATTGTAATTCAAGGTGTGTTCTACTGCAGAAAAGCTTGAATCTTTGGTGAGAAAGGGAGAAAATGGATTCAGGTGATGCATCCGGATATTCAGCTGGGGTGGACGATGATTATGAATCTTTACTATCAACAACTGATGCGGAGCTCTTGAAACGGGCATGGCGGAATGAAAAGGCTGCTCCTGAAATTCTTCAATTTGAGGCTGCTTTAGTTCAGCGGTCTAGAGAACAGATACAATTGATGGTATGCACATTTTACATATTTAGATTAGATTTGTCTGGTTAATTTTTTAACTTTGACTTTCACCTTGTATTATAAGTATTAGATAGATTCCTTTCTATGTCACTCCCTCCGTCCCATTTTATGTAAGGATTGGACACGGAATTTAAGAATGAAACACTTTTGAAACTTGTAGTCCAAAATAAGCCATACACATTTGTGGTTGTAATTCATCTCATTAAGGGTTAAATGAGAAGCTTAAAGTTAAATTATTTTTAAATAGAATGGTGTTATTCTTTATAAGACGGACTAATAAAAAAAAGTACACCACATAAAACGGACAGAGGTATTAATACTTATTTTGTGTTAAACTTGTATTTCATTTGATATTATGTGGTGGACATATGGCTCTGGCCGGGAATTATTAGCTGGTCTCATAATTTCAGATGGGTGTTTATAGGGGACTATGCTGTAGAAACACAAAAGTTTTTGTTTTGCCCCAGACTTTAGCATGATTCACCTGAAGTTTCTTGGTCTTAAAAAAGGATGAGATTCACTTTAGATGTACATACTTACCTAGTAGAGATAATTTCACTGGACAATTAGTCAATTACTCAATTAGTTTTTTCTTTTTGATAAAGTGATTTCAGTAGAAGGCATCAAGAAGATGCAAGAAGTACATGATTTGGCATTTGAGCTTACAAAAAATATTCCTGGCTCCTATACATAATTGACTAAGCCAGAGCTAAAGAACTAATGAAATCTAAAAGATGATCAATGTCGTTGATAGGGTACAGTCTTGACTAGAAAAACAAATTGGTAATAAACAGAACCTTTAAAGAACCTATAGGAGTTGAGTTTCCATCAAAACATCTCTTGTTTCTCTCTGTCCAATTGCACCGGAAAATACAAGCAGGGACCATTGACCAGATTCCTAATGGCTTTATCAACTCTGTAAACTCCAGCTCTTATAAGTATCCTTGACTGTGTTTCCTTGACAATTATTCAATTAATGCATAACAGAAATTTAAGTCTAGAGCATCTGTTTGCACTTTGTCTGCTATTTCTATTAATATTCCTATAGGAGCATGATGAATATTTTGTTCGCGCACACCCTCTCTCTCTAGTCTCCCCTGTAACTAGTAATTTTTCTAATGTCATATACAATGACACACTTACAATTACACCTTTTGTTGTGCGTAATTTTTTTAAAGCACGATACTAGGAGCATTACTCATAAAATATCCTAGTTTAAGAAGCATCTGCCACTCTAAAGATTGAAAAGTTAGTACTGGAACTTAAGTTTGTCGGGGAAAACCACCTTTACATGTAACTTAGTCCAGTAGCGTTGGAGAGCTCTATTTGGAGGTATAAAACAGGAAGGTAAATGGCAGCATAGACTTAAATAAACAAATGGAAGAACCATGGAATAAATGTTAGAATCTTTTTTTCACTGGAAATAGTTGTTTGTCGATATAAGTGAGTGGCTTACAGTTGAAGCTGGTGAATCGAGAGCTTAGGAACTTGATGCTATCTAATAAGTTGTTTAACATGGTGGTTTTGGATGTGATGATTTTGTCCGGTAGAAAGCTTCTTGTGATTGCTTATTAATAAACTGAAGCCTATGTACAAATGAAGTTATTGTTTGTAATATAAAATTGTGTGCTAATCATAATGTAAAAGCTGTTATTGTGACTTTATCATTTTGTGCTGTTGCTGCTACTTAATGGAACAATGGGTAGAATGGTCGTGTGTATGCATTTAATGTCCACTGCAACTCTTTTTTCCCTGTGTTTGTTTTGCTATATGTCTTACATTATTTTCTCTCACCTGTTTTGATGGCTCATGGTCTCATTCCTGGTTTGCTGTCAAATTTGCTCTTCATGGTATCTGCTTCTTACTTTCATTACCTCAACTTTTTAGGTTATGATGTATTACCTTTTCTGGAGAAAACAACATTTTTTTCCTATATCCAATTGGCACCCATCTTTATTGTGATTGGCTTCAATCCATCGAGACACTTCATGAACATCTACTTCAGCAGAGTGTTATGAATTCAAGCTAACACTGGCTGAGGACATGTTAGGATGAAAGATGCCGTCAGACAGGTCATGAATAGGACATTGTTGAAATCTTTGGAGAAGCTTTAATTGTTAATGTGATTGGGAACAATTGTTTAGTAGCTCTGGTTAGGTAATCTTGATGTTATGATTGAGAAATGTATCTGATGGGAGCTCTTATCTGTACTTCAGCTATAAAACTTCACCCTATGAGTTCATTTAATGTAAAGATTTTATTTCTTAAAAAAAACTGTATCTTCAGTATTGGTGAACTAATCAGTTGTCATAGTTACTGAAGTGGATTGTAAAACTCCTCTAACAGTCCAAATCTATGTTTCATTTGATAATGCTGAAAGTTTCATTTATGTCTTCTGGTATTATTTTCATTTTTGTGAATTTACTTTTGCTGTAAGTTCTCGTCTTAGGTTACTCATTATTAATTTATGTGACTTCATTGTTTACAGTAATATATTGCATTGCTGATGCTTCTTAATCTTTGCTCTTCAGGAAGAAACAGTGGAGGAATTTTCAAAAAATGGTGTTGATCCACTCACTGTGTCTCTGTACCAGATGGACTTGGATAGAACTCTGTTTCTATTGAGATCATATTTAAGAACCCGTCTCCAAAAGGTAGCCATGAATTGTAGTATCTTATTGTGTCTTTGATAAAGGTGAAGTTCATATTCTGGAAAGAGCTATAGTCGTGACGCTGGAGAGATACCTCAGTCTACCAACCACTTGTGGTTTCAAATAGTTCTTTAAGTTACTGAAAGTGTTGTTAAAGCAATTTTTTTTCTGTTTGCGTGTGATAGGATCTCATCTCTCGGCTATGTTGCGCGAACTCTCCAAAATGTTGCCGCACCCGTGGCAGATCCTCCAAAAATGCACTGCTTTTGGTGGATCCGACACGTACCCGGCAACATTTTCAGAGACCCCGAGCAACAGTCTCTCATTGTGTTGATGTAGCTTATCCCATCTTCATTCATTTTGTAATTAACATTTGACTGCAGATTGAAAATTATGCATTTCACATACAAAAAACTACCGACTTACGGAATCGTCTATCTAAACAAGAGCAGAATTTTGCTGAAAGGTAGATCTGTTATTCCTTATTCTAAGTGTTCAATGCATACCAAGTTTGTGATGTTGATTACCTGTGATGGTAGGTGTGTTGACGATATGGAGCAACATCTAGATCAATCTGTTCTCTCAAAGTTGCCTCAAGGTTTCAAGTCCCATTTGAAGCAATCTTCGCTAAGTTTGGCAGATGACATGGGTAGGCTTGCCATACTACTCCGTACAGATTGATTAAGATAAATTTTTCTAGTCTCTTCCGCTATCTGCTTGTTTTATACATCTCCGTGTGTGTTGAAAATGTTCTCTCTTGTTGAGCCGAGACTCTGCCGGAAACAGCCTTCCTATCCTTTTCGGGGTAGGGGTAAGGTCTGCGTACCCTTTACTTTCCCCAGACCCCACTAGTGGGATTTTACTGGGTATGTTGTTGTTTTTGTCGTGTGTTTTGAAAATCCATATGAGTTAAGAGAGTTTCTGGGAAGATAAATGGTTATGCTGTAAAGAGAGCATTTTGAATTAGTAGAACGTTTTTGCTAAGTGATTTAAATTGTTTTTGAACGTGGTGCAGCATAAATGCTCTATTGAATTGCCAAACCTGCAATCTGATTGTGAGTTAGTTTAAGGCGTGGTGCAAATTCTTGTCCTCATGATATCAGCTTATTTTCTTAGCATTTTAGACATCTCAGATATAAAGACTTCCAGGATTTACATTTTTACTGAAGTAACGATTTCTCTGCTTGTGTCTTGTAGTTCCTGAGCCACAGCTGGATCAGTATGTAATCTGCAGAAGCAAGAGATTTTTAGGAGCTTTTCAGCTTGATGACAGGCAAATTTCCTTACTTTATCGTAGTTTTTATTTGGAATCCTGCCAGATTATCTTCTATCTTTGACTTGTCTTTCTTTGATGACAGTGGGGAAGAACCAGTGAACATTGAAGCCAATGATTTATATGCTTTGCCTTACAAGTCCATAAAGCCACTCGTGGAGAGTGGGCAGATCGATCTGGTATAGGAAACAATACCCCTTTGTTTTCTGCTGATAGGAAACTGCGGCGGCTATGCACAAATCAAGACTTACATTATCCAAGCTTAAATGTAGTATGGGATGTAACTTTCTTACAATGTTTTAACTGCTCAAGAATTATCTCTCACATTGTGGTAATCTGTTTGTTTCAAAAGATGTTTAATCTTCTAATTTATTAATTTTTACCATATGGTGTCATCTATAAAAGTTTTAGGGCTTTGGTGAACATTTGAAAAACAAAAAAAATTCGTTAAGTCACGCTGACATTTGTTTCTAAGTAACAAAATTGAAAGCTAGGGGAACAAGCACAGGAAGCTAGGTAAGCAGTAAGAATAGATGAGAACCAAATGCCTAATTTCAGAGTGAGACATCAACATCCTCATCATCCTTCTTCTGTGTATAGCCTGGTTATATACTACTCCATTATATACTTAAGAGTCTTTGTTGTAAGCGTACTTGGATCAAATATAAAGGAGGAGTCCTACTCATCTTCTACTCTTAACTACTCCCTCCGTTCCAGATTATGTAAACCTGTTTGACTGGGCACGAAGTTTAAGAAAAAATAAGACTTTTGGAATTTGTGGCCCTAAACAAGTCAAAAAGGGGCCCAGAGTATTTGTGTGGTTATAAAATCTTCTCATTAAGGGTAGAATTGTAAGTTTAAGCTAAATTGTTTCCAAATTTAGAAAGGGTTTCTTTTTGGAACGGACCAAAAAGGAAATAGGTTCACATAAACTGGAACGGAGGGAGTACTATTCATTAAACTTCTATTTACACATTATATTACATATTAAAGATTTTCAAACTCAAACTATAGGGGCTGAATCGAGGTAAGTGATTAAAGTTTCATAAACTACAGAAGGAAATTTTATTGCTTGCTTAGACCATCACCTATTCAAACAATGGAATACATTGTGTCATTTTCCCATTTCGTTTAGTTCGTAAATGAGATAAAGGAACTATCCTTTTCCCAGTCGATTCAGTAAAACATCTGAAAAGTTATTGTTGAGTTTTAGCTCAAAATTATTTTGAAGATTCATGAGAAAAAGTTTGTGCAAAAACAAAAACTTGTTTCGAATGTTGAAATCTTTACCCCCACCTGTTTGAGTGTCTTCAGGATTCAGGATAAGTCTTTGCTATGAAGGTCATTTTGGTAGCTTTAGTCAATGTATTATTAAGAATTTTTTTCAAAAAAAGTACTATCTTTTAGCAGTAATTAGTCATCTATAGATACCATTTGCTATATTACGGATTATAGATACCTTTTATGTGGTTATAAGATGTATTTGACGTATTTAAGCTATTGTATTCATGAATAAAGTAGCAAAAATAGGCGTGAATCAGGGAAGTCCAGCTAATCAGTTGTTGTATTCGAGTGTATTCGACTGTATTCATGGAGTGAAACATGGGATTACAGCTGGACAGATTATTGTATTCGACTGTATTCACGGCGTGAAACAGGGGATTACACTGTTTTTAAAACGGAAAGTGAATCAATTAACATAATAGACTCCTAATATAACTCAACAAACTCAATTATAATACACAAAATTTGTATTTTCAATAATGCTGTATTCTGGGCCGGGCCCGGGCCTAAATGGGCCGGGCTAAACGGGCTCAGGCTCAAGCGGGCTGGGCTCTGGCGGTCCTGGGCTTCACGGTCCCGGGCTTCATGGGCTCAACGGGTGGAACCAGCCCATGACGGGCCTAAGCCCACATGGTACTGGGCTAAATGGGCCGGGCTCACGGACCCATACGGGCCTAACGGGCTTTTTTATTTCCGCGCTATTTTTTTTTTAATTTTTTTTGTTTAAGGCAATTTCTTGTAAACCATATATGTATATACTAATATAAATTGCTTATACATGGCTATATAAATATATATAGTATATATAATATGTATAGTATGTATATATAATTATATATTAAAGTTTGCATTTAAAAAGTAAAATAACAAAACATAGTAAAACTAAATTATCATGTATAATAAATTAATAACAAAGTAAAACATTAAGCATAAATACGTCTAATAATTTTAAAATAACACAAATTGTCGAAAACTCTTAAATACGAATTTCCGGATGACGCTCAAGACAATACTTTATATGCCTCCTTAAACTGCCTGTGCCAGACCCTGAACGAAAATTTAAGACTCCACCACAGTTCTTGCACTTTAATATTTGACCTTCTTCATTTTCTTCTAGCACCTCAAAGTGTTGCCAAACAAATGAGCGCACTCTTTCCGAACGAGGCATGATTTAACTTGAGATTTGAGATTGAGACTTGAAGTCTTGAAAATTGGAGATTGAGAGAATGAGAGAAATTTAGATTGAGAAATGAGTATTGAGTGAAGAAATGAAGAAGANGTATTTATAGTTTTAGAGAAGGTTAGTTTTGTAAATTGAAAAAGAAAAAAAAAAGGCTATTTGTGCAATATGACCGTTGGCAATGGTCATTGGGGGTGGGGCCCTCCTTTTGATAAATCTTGTAATGTTTTGTAGTATATATAGTATGTTAGTGTATATATATATATATATATATATATATATATATATATATATAGAGTATATAGTATATATAGTATACTATACTATATATAGTATGTTATGTATATATATTTCCAAATATAATTTCTTGTAATATTTTGTAGTATATATATATATATACTATAATATATATAGTATGTTATGTAATCGTTGAAGACTTGAATACTTCAATTCACCAACTTCACAATTTTTCACGAAATTGCAATAATAAAATAAGCAATTATAGAAGAGAAATTAGATATAGATTGAGAGAGATTGAGAGAGATTGATGAATTGGTGAGTAAAAATGAAAGAATGAGGGGGTATTTATAGTTGAGAATTGGGAAAAAGTGTAATTATATAAAGTTTGGGGNGCCAAATGGCTATTTTTTAAAGTGGCCAACGGATCAATTTTGAAGGCCAACGGCTAGATTTTAAAAATCTGACCGTTGGTCTTTTTTTTTTTTAAAAAAATTAGCCGCTGGAGCCCGTTAGGCCCGTTGGGCCCGGTTGAACCGGCCCAGGCCCGCCTGCCGGTCCCGGGCTTAGCGGTCCGGGCTCGTGGACTCCTTGAAGTAGACCGGTCCGCCACGGGCCTTGCGCACCATTTGGGACCGGCCCACTGAGACCGGCCCACCAGGCCCATTTGGCCCATTTGGACCGCGGTCCCGGGCTGGGCCCGACCCACAGTGCAGCATTAATTTTCAGTTATAAAAAAGATTCTCAACCAAATACCCAAAAAACATAGCAATCTTCAGAGAAATTATATAATACATGTGAATACATAAATTATATTAATTAAAAAGAACTTATGAATACATTCATGGCATATAGCGAGACAGTGAATACGATGAAATACATAGAATACAACGGGATACATTGAAATACAATAAAAAAAAGACAGAGAATACAATAAAATACATGGAATACAGCGAGATACATTGAATTACAATGAAAAAAAAAGACAATGAATACAATGAAAATTATGAATACAGCACAATTTTTTTTAAATGGTATTTATTTAAAATAAATAAGGTGTTAACCTTTGCTATAGGAGGTAAAAATTCCTATTATTAATACACATATTTTCATTCTTATGTCGCATCCTATTATATATAATTAAAAGAATCTGCATAAAAGCATAAATTCTACATAAAAGATGCGAAAAACAATTATATATAATTATGTATTATTAAAAATCTACATAATTAAAACTAAAAAATCTACATAAAAGCATAAATTCCTGCATATGCGAAAAACAATACATGAACCAAATATTATATTAACTATGCAATATTTTATGTGGAAATAAAAAAGGGCAACCAAATATTATAAAAATAATGCTAGATTATATGTGAGGATTAATTTTTTCTACATTGTAAGAAATGTCAGCGACTAAGGTCTTTGGTGGTCTTATTGGCGCATACCACGATGGGGTCTTCGACAGAGGTGAAGGCGTAACAAGATAGCTATAGCAGGACCTGTGGCTGGATTGAATCTTTCGCGATGAAAATGCACTCTTGCCCCAACTTTCCTAACATAGGAGCTAGCATGCTTCCACTAGTGGCAGGTAGGTGAAGGGTCCAAAGGACACGTAGCGGGGGCGAGTCAAAATAGTATAGTTCCATTTTCCTTCTTGTTTCTCAATCAGAAATCAAAATAAATCGAGCACTACGTTAAGACGTGAAAACACCTAATAGAAATAAGAAATACATATATACTCGTGTCACTAAAAAAGTCAATTTTTATAACAAAAATCAAATGATAGTTAATTTCTAACAATCAATTAAATATATAGATAGTGCAAATATTTTTTAACTGTATCAGTATATAGGAGTTAGATTCGATAAGAAGAATACTCCATTAGTTCGCAATATGAAAAGATAATATTCATCCTGCTATGATTAGTTAAATTCTATTGTAATTTTTTTTATATTACTATATAGTGTTAACTTAAATTTTTAATCCATTTAGGAGTTAATAAATAGGACTTTTAACATATATATTTGTAAAAATAGCACGGTCTAGCCAGTTTTCGGACTGGTCATTCAAAAATAGCCAACGTTTACCAAGTCAATGAAAAATAGCCACTATTTTGCTGCAACAGAGACCGGTCCAGCATAACATACTGGAGTTCGGTGCACCTGTGTGTGAACTTCCAGCATATTATGCTGGAACTCCAACACACGGAAAGTTCCAGCATAATATACTGGAGATTCGAGCACTTATGTATGAACTTCCAGCATATTATACTGGACCGGTATACTTTGCTGGAACTCCAGTATATTATGCTGGAGTTCTAGTGTACTTGTGCTGGAACTCCATCATATTATGCTGGAGTTTCAACATACTTATCCTGGAACTCTAGTACAATATGCTGGAATTCAAGTATACTTATGCTGGAACTCCAGCATAATATACTGGCGTATTTTTCGGGTTTTGAACAGTGTTTTCGCCCAGATTTATCTTTACATGAAAAGTGGCTAAATTTCGATTACTTTTGAAACTGGGCTATTTTTGAACGACCACTTGTAAATCTGGCTATTTTTGAATTTCTCTCTATATATTTGGTAAGCCAGCCAGCCCAAAATAATTATAATGCTAGCCAATATATCGACATGAACTTTTCGACACATAGTTCCTATAGCCTTAACTCAGATTATCTACTAATTTATTTTATATAACGGAGCATTTTATTTATTCTAAGAGAATGACTTCAAGTCATATTAGACAACGGCAAAGTCTTTGACATACTGAAATTCCTGATAGAAATAAAATAGGAAAGTGCATTTTCAAGAAGGAATCAAATTGCTTTGAATTTTTAAAATTTGACATAAATAAAAAGAAGAAAATACATTTTCAAGAAAGAACAAAATTATTTTTAATCCCAATACTTGAAAGAACGTACTTAAAGAAAAAAAAAGTTAAAGTTGCAATCGCCAATCACAAATTAAACACATCATAGTCCTCATTTGAGCATCTCAAGAATATTACAAACTTATTGAAAGACTACATACTGTACTTCAATTTTTTTTTATATATATTTAACTACTATCTTAAAAGAATAATATGACATGAATTTTGGTAAAAGTATACTAAAGGGATAAAGAACGTAATTGACTTTTAATACAACAATGCAAAGACAAGAAACAATACAAGGAACATAGGTAGTGACAGTTATACATAGGTCACCAACATCCTTATGATTTTTGAAAACGCCAATCTATTTATCTACATATATATAAAAAAGGGAAAATAAGTGCTAACATGACACTTCTTATTGTCCAAGATTCATATTTATCTTTTTTCTCAGATATTTGCTTATTTTCCTTTATTTTAAGATTTTTTATCCCCTAATAATTATTCAATTATACAAAAAATGTAACGTCTAATACCTCCTTCCTTATTTAAGGTCATAGTAAACAATAGCTATTAATTACTACTGTGTACTTATTGCACCTTTTATTATGAAATCAATTCATTCATATAATTTGGCCAATATGCGTTATGAATTTGAAAGGCAAAAATATGGATACTATCATACTAAATTCTTGGTCCTTAAATACTCTGTATTTTTAGCAGCATGGAGGCGCCTTTCACCGGCAAGAAAAGAGGATATGAACATATATGGTCTGCATCAAACATAAGTTTTATTATTGTTGGTGAAGAAATAATTTACTCTTCTGTTATGATTTTTTGGTTTTTTTTACTCTCCTTCCTTCTGAATGTATGTTGTTCAAAATGGGAGAGGAAGGGTGTAAATGAATTGAATTTCACCCATTTACTTTTTCTCTACTCATAAATATTATATATTACTTGTAATATTTAATAGAGCATTATATGTGAACAACACTAAAAATATAAAAGTCTATAATTATGAATAACATTTACTTCTAATTACAATCACTATATGATGAGACTTTCCAGTTGGAAGGACTGTACATCGAGACGTAATGACTATTTTTCACATATATATGTGATTTTGTTCTTTAAACATTTGATTTTTAACTTCTTTAGCAATGTTCCTTGACTTAGTTGCATTGAGTATAGTTGTTATTATTGTATAGTTTATATCATATAATTTTTCTTTATTATATTATTACAACTTTTAAAGAATAAATTTATTAAAGAAATAGCGCGAAGCGCGTACCTATTTACTAGTTTGAATAATAAAATAGACTCATGAGAAACACCGTAACCACACAACAGTGTTGGCAAGAGCCTCTATTTCCTTATTAGCAATATGGGTTCAATTATTGTGGAGTTCGATGGCGAAAAATTCAAAAATGGCCAGTTTTTCGCCTGGTCAATCAAATGTAGCCACATAATCACCGGTCAACGATATTTAGCCACTAATTTAGTGCGGTAACATTTTATTGACTAAAATACCCCTGCTTTTTTAATTAATTTACGCGACTTCACCTTAAATTCTTCTTTTAGCAAAACTTAACAAAGTCTTCCGGCATTAGTTTTCAAATCGAGTTATTAGGAAAATTTTCGCCGTCAATCTGTAAATCGTAATATTAGCAAAATCTTTCGGCGTTAATCGAGATATTCGCAAAATCTTCCGGCGTTAATTTGCAAATCGAAGTGTTAGCAAAATCGTTATGCGTCAATCTGCAAATCGAAGTTTTAGCAAAATTTCCGTCGTCAATCTGCAAATCGAAGTAAGTTCTATCTAAAATTTGTCTGATTATTTAAATTTCTTCTACGATCAAGAATTCAAACCATAAAATTCAAAGTATCAGTAAAAAAATTTAATTTTTCGAATTTTTGATTTGTTTTTAATGCTTTAATCTGTGTTATTGTCTAATTTTCTCAATGTAGAACATAGCGCCAGTATAATTTGTTGGACGTTTCTAAATTAATATCTAAAGCGAAGATTTTTCTAGCTTATTATACTGGAAATCTCATAAAAAAAGCATTATAATTGAGTTTTGTTTGAATCCAGTATATTTTACGGGACATCACGTGTGTGTAAGCTTTTCCTCCAATATGTTATACTGGATAAGTTCTAACACTAGAATATAAATGAGTTTTGCTTGAATCCAGAATATTTTACGGGACGTCACCTGTGTGTAAGCTTATTCTCCAGTATGTTAAACTGAATAAGTTCTAAGACAAGAATATAATTGAGTTTTGTTTTAATCCAGTATAGTTTACGGGACATCTCATGTGTGTAAGCTTATTCTCCAGTATGTTATACTGGGTAATTTCTAAGACTAGAATATAATTGAGTTTTGATAGAATCCAGTATATTTTACGAGACATCACCTGTGTATAAGCTTTCTCCAATAAGTTATAACTGGATAAGTATAAGACTAGAATATAATTGAATTTTGTTTGAATCCAGAATATTTTACGGCACCTGTGTGTAATATTTTTTATGTTATACTGGATAAGTTCTAAGACTAGAATATAATTGAGTTTTGTTTGAATCCAGTATATTTTACGGGACATTACCTATGTGTTAGCTTATTTCTCCAGTATGTTATACTGGGTAAGTTCTGCATAAACTAGAATATATTGAGTTTTTATATCAATCCAGCATATTTTACAGGAAATCACCTGTGTTTAAAATTTTCTCCAGTAATGTTTATACTGGACGAGTTCTATTTAGAGTAGAATATAGTTGAGTTCTATTTAGACTAGAATATAATTTACTGGACGTTCAGCTTATTATATTGGAAATCTCATAAAAAATGCATTGTAATTACTTGAAGTATGTTTCGTTAATGTAGATTATTATGTTATAATATAATTGAGTTTTATTTCAATCCAGAATAATTTAAAAGTACGTTCACTGTGTGTAATGTTTTTCCTCCAATATGTTATAACTGGACCGAATTCTTTCAGACTAGATATAATTGAGTTTTGTTTTAATCCTGTATTATTTTGTACGCCTGTGTCTTAAGCGTTTTTTACTCCTAGTATGTTATACTGGATAAGTTCTAAGACTAGAATATAATTTGAGTTTTGTTTTAATCCAGTTATATTTTTACGGGACATCACCTGTATGTAAGCTTATTCTCCAGTATATTATACTGGATGAATATTATATTTTTTAAACAGTTATAATTTTCTAGATTATCTAATTATTTGGGTTCATTAAATACAGGATGCATACAAATTTCTTGATTATTGCGTTCGATGGCAAATGGACAGCAGATTACAAGTACTTGGATCATAAAACGAAGCTCCTCCTGATAAACGATGGGACTTCATTTGAAGAATTTCTTAGAAAATTTTTTGAAGTTATAGAGCTTGACAACAAAAAGTTTCAAGCAAATGTATGGCTTAATATCAACCTAGGTACTTCTAAGGGAATAGAAGTGACAAAAGATGAAGATCTTATTATGTGTATGATTCTTTTAAAAAATGATCCATACTATAAAGATTCGAAATTTGTTGTTGAAATATCAGAAAAACCAGATCAACAACTAGAAGGTAATGCAATAATGAAAATTGATAATCAACAGTTATTGCACAGAAACACATATGGTCCGGAAGAGCAAGTGTTGCTGATATCTCAAGTTGAAGAAGAGCAGGAGAATCCAATTTATGATATTACAATGGAAAAAGAAATTGTAATTCCTGTGGAAGATCAGCACATTGAATCACTACAAAGTATTGAAGGAAGAAAAAGGAAAGGAAAAGGAAAGGCAAAAGAATCTCCATCAATAATATTAAAGGAAAATGCATCACTGGATGATGTAAAACTTGGTTCTGTTTTTCAAGATAAAAATGCCATGATTAGATGTTTTTGCTTAGCAGCTATAAAGGAGCATTTTGAGTTCTATGTTAACAGGTCAAGTAACACGAGATACTCTTTGGTATGTACTGATGAAAAGTGTACTTGGACTGTTCGAGGTTCAAGAATTAAGGAATCAACACTTTTTAAAATAGTTAAATTTCAGAGAACACATGAGTGCTCAGTTGATATTCGAAAATCAGATCAAAGGCAAGCAACTTCAAATGTGATTAGAGATTACGTGATTGACAACTTAAGAGACATAGCTACTGAGGTAAAACCTAAGTTTGTCATTTCAGAGATGAAAAGAGCACATGGAATTGATGTTGGTTATGAAAAAGCATGGCATGCTATTCAAAAGGGGTTATCTTTGTTAAGAGGAACAACTGAACAGAATTATGAGCAGCTGCCATCATATTTGTATATGATGGAACAAAAAAATCCAGGATCATATACAAATATTGTGAGAGATGAAGAAAACAGGTAAATTTCTTATTTATGATAAGCTTTCTTTCCTGTAAATTATACTGGGTGAGTTCTGTTCAATCTATTGTATTTTATTTTGTCCAGTATATTATACAGGATGTTAGTGGTTGTCGTCCAGTATATTTTACAGGATGTGTGTATTGTATAAGCTTTCTTTCCTATAAATTATACTGGATGAGTTCTTTTTATTTATTACTTTTTTTGAGTGATTTTTTATGTCCATTATTAAATACGGGACATAGTGATTTAACAGTATATAACTCCAGTTTAATATACAGGAAACAAAATATTAAGTTATGTATTTCAATTTTATTTCATTTTGTCCAGTATATTAAACAGGAAGTTAGTGTTTGTCTTCCGGTATATTTTACAGGACGCGTGTATTGTAAAAGCTTTCTTTCCTGTAAATTATACTGGGTGACTTCTCTTCAATCTATTGTATTTGATTTTGTACAGTATATTATACAGGATGTTAGTGGTTGTCATCCAGTATATTTTACCGGATATCTGTATTTTATAAGCTTTCTGTCCTGTATAATATACTGGTTGAGTTCTGTTCAACCTAAAATTTTGTATTTTTAGTTTATTTTATCTAGTATATTATACTGGATGTTAATGGAACTCCAGTATGTTATACTGGAAGAATATTATAAAATAGTTAATTTTTGTTTGATGCCCGTAAATTTTACAGGACGTGTGGCTTGTATGAGCTTTATCTCCAGTATATTATACTGTGTAAGTTAACTGAATTTTATTTACTTTTCTTTTTACAGGTTTGTTTACATGTTTTTTTATGTATGGGGCATCAATTTCTGGGTGGAAGTATTGTAGACCACTGATTGCTGTTGATGGAACATTTCTAAAAAATAAATATAGAGGTGTTCTATTAGTGGCTGTTACCAAAGATGCAAATAACCAGATTTTTCCTATAGCTTTTGGAGTAGTGGATAAAGAGAATAATGAATCATATGAATGGTATTTCAGGGAATTAAGAAAAGCAATTGGGATTCGTAATGATTTAATGTTCTTGTCAGATCGACACAAGGCTATTGCAAATGGAATTGCAAAGGTTTTCCCTGAGTGCTACCATGGAATTTGCATCTATCATTTAGAAAAGAATCTGAAGCAAAGAAGAGTGAGAAACACTGTGATAAATCTCTTTCAAAGTGCTGCAAGAGTATACCTTCAATCAGAATTTGATGACTTCATGTCCCAAATAGCTGCTGTTGATAAGAAAACTTTCAATTATTGATGGAGACCGCCAGGAAGGTGGGCTCGTTCACATTGTCCCAGAAGAAGATATGATATGTTAACAACAAATATTGTTGAGTCAATGAATAATGTTTTAAGACGTTCAAGAGAATTGCCAATTTTAACAATGATGGATTTCATACAAGAAAAATTGCAAAGCTGGTTCTATGAAAGAAGGACACTTGCAGAAGGAATATTCCGTGATATAT